AAATTATCCCTCAAACACAGCCGGAAGAGCCACAGCTTCGATGGATGACCCCTCGGGAGCCCGGGCAGCGCCCACGGCGGCAGCGGAATAATTAACGGCCCGTGAATGTGTACACATTCATCAAAAACACCGGACATCGCGTTTTTGAGCGATGCCCTGCCGGTGCTCGCCCGAGCTCGTGTTATTGAAAAAATGATACATTTAAATACTACCGATTGAATTTTTGAAATGCGGGCGCGACCATGTGGGTGTATGTGAAAATGTATAGTGGGGTGTGGGCAGTTGACCACTAGGCCAAATCGAGTGGTAGTAGCACGAATAGCTAGGGTTGGTAGCACGAATAGCACGACCCGCCGCATCGAAGCACGGCAGCTTTTCCCATTTGGGATGCACAGATAACTAACTATTACGGAGCTGTAATGGTAACAGGCTTGCTCCCACGTTTGTTGGACTTGGGGAGCAGTGATTAATCTGTGGGGTTCATCTCGTCACCTTTCTTTCTGCTTCCTTCCTTGATCCTCTTGGGCTTTCTCCACGATCCCAGAGCATCGGTTGCTGATGTGATGATGTCAAACGCCTTTTTTGATATCGTCCGGCACGAGTTCCATGCGTAGACAGGGCGACAGCCACCAGTCAAGTCTCCCTGCGGATCCTCGTCTTTGCCGTAAAACGTAGCTGTACATTTAAATAGCGGTCGCAACAGCGTCTAAAGGGGGGATTTGTTTCTCTTAGCACAATACCATCCAAACCAAACTGAAGGACAGAGGAATTAAGTGTAAAAGGTCCACGAATACCTAATATGGGTAGCTTATCCGTGGGCTTTGGGTAGGTATAGGTAGGAAAAAAAAGACTTGAATATATTTATAGAGAAAATTAAGTTATTTATAATTATTTATGAATAATTTCAAGTAATTTAAAGTATTTATTTAAGATTTACCTTTTTATTAAATATATAAAAATTTATTTATAAGTTATAATAAGAAAACCATAAGTACTTACAAGTAAAATTTTTTAAAGTTACTTATAGAATACCTTAACCACCTATATAACACGGATAACCCAAGAAAAACCTGGATACCTAAAGCTCTTACAAATATAGTAAATACAAGTGTATTATGTATTGTATTTTATATTATATTGTATTTTCGTGTATTATATTTAAATACATTACATTACATAACTAGAATACCTATAAATATATTATAAGTAAAAAAAACCCCTGTTTTTTTAAACTTAAGATTATAAGGCTAATTATAAGGGTTATAAGGGAAAATTTTATATCATTTAAAAGAGCTAAATCAGCTCTTTAAAATGACTTACTTTTTACTATTATAAGTTACTCCATTAAGAAGTTATAAGCAATTGAAAATTCGCCCCGCTTTACTTACTTTTTATTTTAAGACATAACTTTAAAGCTTAATATCTCGCTTAATATCCACATTTTAAGGTTAATTTTTAAAGATTCAAAATCACGTGATTTTTAGCTTTATTTTAATATATAATATGCTTATATAAGCATTTATTTATAACATTAGATATTTCATAGCCTTATAATACATTATTTTATAGCCTTATAATACATTTATAGGTATTCTTATCTTATAATATATTATAATATATTATAATATAATACATTATAATATAGTATAGTAAAAAATATAAAAAATACAATACATTTAGAGGTCTGTGAATACCTACGGGTGCCTAGGAGAACACGTTTTTACAATAAAAGTACAGGTTCACCGCAAATGTGCCTCTATTTGTGGAAGTCGTAATGCCGGTTTTTAGAGGTTAGGTCCATATTAGGATGCCGCTTTTAGAGGATAATTTGTAAGGCGCTTAAACGGACCTTTATTAGCTTTACATACCATATTAGCCTTAGCGCTAGGACTAGAGTATTAGAAGTAGTGTAGTTTTGTAGTTTTATAGTGTAACGGTGGCTTAGGTTCTTAATATAGCCTAGCTTTTTATATCTTATATAGTAACGTTCGTAATATAATACCTCTTCTTTATTAGTCTTATTCTTAAGGCTATTAAAATAGGCCGGCAGTAAGCTAGCTAAGGGTTTTTAGGTAATTTTCCCTTTTTTATTCTCCTTATATATTATTATATTAACTAATTATATCTTAAGATCTTTTATTTAGTTCTATAAACTTTCTCGTAAAATAAATAAGTAAAACGCTCTTCTTAAGTTAGTAATTAAAAATCTAATTAATATACCCGCTTATTTCTTTTATTAA